CAAATGGATCACAGACCTAAATGTAAAACCTCAAATCATAAGAACCTTAGAAAATGAAGGACATACCCTCATGGAAATTGGAACTGGCATCCAATTCCTGAACAAAGCCCGAAACCCACAGGCCATAAGAGAGAGATAGACAAGTGGGACCTCATTAAACTGACAATCTTCTGCAAAGCCAAAGAAACCATCAAGAGAGCAGGGAGACAGCCTACAGACTGGGAAAAAGTCTTTGCCAACTCCAGGTCCGACAAAGGCTTAACATCTTGGATCTACAAGGAACTCAAACATGCTGAAAAGAAAAAAAAAAAACAACCCCATTATAAAATAGGCAAAAGATATGAACAGACACTTTGCAAAGGAAGACATCCAAGCAGCCAACAGACACCTGAAAACATGTTCAACCTCACTAATCATCAGGGAGATGCAAATCAAAACCACACTGAGATACCACCTAACTCCAGTCAGAATGGCAATTATCAGTAACTCAAAAAATAACAGTTGCTGGAGAGGGTGTGGTGAAAAGGGAACACTTCTACACTGTTGGTGGGAGTGCAAACTAGTGCATCCTCTGTGGAAAACAGTACGGCGATTCCTAAAAGCTCTAAATATTGACCTCCCATATGACCCCGCAATCCCCCTACTGGGAATATATCCTAAAGAACTCAAATCACTCTATAAAAAAGATACCTGCACACGTATGTTTATCGCAGCATTGTTCACAATAGCAAGAACATGGAAGCAACCATGCTGTCCATCAAAAGAGGACTGGATTTTAAAAATGTGGTACATATACACAATGGAATACTATGCGGCCATAAAAAAGAACAAAATCATGAATTTTGCAGCAATCTGGATGGAACTAGAGTCTATAATACTGAGTGATCTCTCACAGAAACAAAGATCTGAGTATCACGTGTTCTCACTCATATAGTGGACCTTGAACATCCAACATAATACTATAAGAAAATGACTGACAGTGGTGGGAAACTATCGGGGGAGGGGAAGGGAGATGGGATTAACGGTAGTAAATATCTGTCTGGGGATGGGCAGACACCTCTTATCAACAAGGGTGCCTGAACGAAGCATATTTGTATACCTAACCCTTAACTGTACCCCACAATATCACAATAAAAAATATTGATTAAAAAAAAAGATAACCTTCACTTGAGACTACTGTAAGAAAGCAGGATCCTCAGGACACAGGTAGATTTCAATTAAAGCACTAAAGCATGCAGGTAAATGGCATAGCTAAAGAGGCTGAGGGTGGAGTAGAGTTTGCTGGCAGTAATTAGGGTTTCTGTAAAGGCCACTGTTTGAGAGTTCTGTTGGTGTCAGTGATTGAGATTGATAGGATGAGAGTTTTGTGGTCATGAGAGATAGAGATCCATGCGTCCTGTGGGTATCAATGGTTGAGGAACCTGTGGGAATATATGATTGGAGTGTCTGTGAGGACAAGTGATTGGGGAGATCTGCTGATGCTAGTAATTAGGAGGTTTGCTGGAGTCTGTCATTTTGGAATTATAGGCTCAGTGATTGGGAATCCAGTAACAGTCAATGATGGGAGGTTACTAGGAGTGGTTGGAGGTCTGTGGGGTTAGACTGGTGACAATATTCAGGTAATTGATTGGTGGTCTGTAGGGGTAAGGGATTACCTTTAAATGTTAAACAAACATGTTTGAATATATATTTACTAGTATTAGTACCAAAATTCTCTAATAGCTGTGTCATTCTTCTCTTATCTGCCTAAAGGATAACTTGAACACTTTAATATCTCCCCTACCCCAACCTCTCCCATTTATAGTTCTGCCTATTTTTCTGACATCATACCTCTTGATTTTAAGGATGCTATCATAATAGCTGCATAAGCACACTGCCAAGTTACTTAAATTTAACTAGACACTTTATGGGGTTTGTTATTCATAGTTCTCTTTTGTGTATTAAATCTTTCCCAATCTTGAAAAGTTTATTCTAGTCCTATTTTCCTTCTTTAAAAAAAGTATTCCTTTTCTTTTTCTCCTCTTCTTCTCTTCTCCTTCCCTTCCTCCCCCCTTCTTCCCTCCTTCTTTATTTCTAAAGTACATTGATAGTATACTTTCTGCGGGCTTACATGCCTAAAATATTTTCCTTTTGCTGCCAAACATAAATGGTTTTTTTGACTGGTTATAACAATCAAGAGTCTCAATTATTCTACCTCTGAACCCTTTAAACTGTAATAAATATGACTCCACAGCTACCCCAGCATCAACCTTCTGGACTCCAGCAGAAAAAATAAATAAATATGACTCCATAGCCTTTTAGCATCCATTGTCATAGAAGAAAAGATAAAGACCGATTCTGTTACTTTTTTGATTTTTTGGTTAATTCTCTTTCTATCTGATATCCATATGATTTTATGCTCTTGAACAAACACATTAACAATCGGGACATTTTTTAATATGATTTTTGTTTCTCAAAAAAAAAAAAAAAGAAAAATTAGGTAGAAAATAGATGTCCCGTATAACATGATCAACAGTGAATGGTCAAGGTAAGAATAAATTTTTTTTTTGTCCAAATGATTCACCAAATGTGGATAACATTAGACTAAACAGGAATGTGCTATTACAGGGATCTGTAACATTCAAAGATGTGACCATGGCCTTTACCCAGAAGGAATGGAAGCAACTGGATCCTGCTCAGAGGAATCTATACAAGAATGTGATGCTGGAGAACTACAGCAACATAGCTTCAATGGGTGAGGACAATCCCTTTATATTCAAAATGTGTCCACTTGATATCTTCTCTCTGAAGGCCTTGATAGGTTTGGTCTTGATTTTTTTTTTTTTTGAGTTGGAGTCTCACTTTTGTTGCCCAGGTTGGAGTGCAGCGCTACACTCATGGCCACCGCAGCCTCGACCAGCTGGGCTTAGCTGATTCTTACACCTCAGCCTTCCAAGTAGCTGAACCTACAGATGCATGCCACCATGCCCAGCTAGTTTTGTGATTTATTGTAGAGTTGAGGTCTCACCAAGTTGCCCAGGCTGGTCTCAAACCTCTGGCTCAAGCAATCCTCTCACCTCAGCCTCCCAAAGTGCTGGGATTATAGTCTGAGCCACTGCACCCAGCCTGGTCTTGAATCTTATAGGTCAAACAGTTTAATCCCTTTTGTATACTAGGCAGGATATTTGTGCCCCTGCCTCCAAAATGGAATAATCTACTCAGTTGCAGTACGTGAGCATCCACATTGTAAAACTTCAGAGGCTATGTATTCTTTAGCCTTTAAAGACCCTGAAGCACAAATGCTGGGCTTTTGTTTCTGGGAGAGTTGTTCTAACACTCAGTTTCTACCATTTCTCATGAGCAGGATGTCAAGCTTCCAAACCAGACATTATTTCCAAGCTGGAAAAAGGAGAAGAGCCATGGTTGGGGAAGGAGAAAAGACCCAGTCAAGGTCATCTGAGTAAAACAGCAGGATCCAAGCAAATAGGAATTGATGAAAGTAAGTTTCTAGTTTCTTGGTGATAATGTTGGAATTTTTTAAAGAATAGTTTATTTTTAAATTCTTCTTAAATCCTAGACCTTTCTTTCTTAACTAAGAAATAGCAATAGAAAAATATCAAAATCTTCTAGGTGAAGAAGAGCTCAAACTACAAAGATTCTCTAACCTTAGAAATTCTGATATCTCTTCTTTCTGTGAACTTGTCCACATGACAGGTTCTCATGTGAGGTAAACTATAGTAGTGGCCTAGTGTTAAATATGGGAGTTTGGTTATACCACCTGTATCGGTCAGTTTCAACTAAGTTTTGCTTGAGATGACCCCCAAATCTTAGCAGGAATGACCCACAAATCTTAGCAACTTACAACAAGAAATGTTTACTCTTGCTCAAGCTGCAGCCCTGTTCCACATTATCTTTATTGGGGACAAGGCTGAAAGGGCATTTTCCATGTGGCAAATTCTGGTCTCATGGCAGAGGGAAAAAGGAAAGAGCGATAGCTTTTAAAAATCACTGCTTATAAATTCTAAATATCATTGTTGTCTCACATTTTATTGATCAGAGCAGGCTACCTGGCCACTCTGAATTTGACAGGGTGGGAATGTATAATTCTTCCACCAGGAAAGGTGCTAAAATTCAGATGATCATGCATTTAGGAAGGCCTGGTAGGTGTAATCCTTCTACAGGGAACATAATATAGTCTATCACACCACTCAGATTGTAGGGAGAAAAGGTGAAAATCAGGGCTCTAAACCTTTGTTACTAGCTCCTCAGATGCCTAGCTGATCCTTCCATATAGTTACCTGTCCTTATCCATATGCTCCTTTGCTCAGTTTTCAGAAAAAGCAGTAACTCTCTTTGCTGTTCTTCCATTTCATCCACCTACACTCCAAGATCCCAGTGTATCAAATTCTCTCCTGTGTGTTCAGACATTCTTCAATCTGTCCTCTTTCCAAATCTCTTTACGTGATCGCTCCTGCTCTAAGCTATGTTGTTTCCCTCCTTTTACTTGACCTGTAGTCTATAACATGTTATCATTTCCATTTTCTCTTTAACCTTTGTAGTCAAATCCCACAGAATTCATGCTTTTATCCAAATTTCTGACTTTAAAGTTTCCATTGCTTACCTTCCAGTGCATACTTTAATAGCTTTGATTAGACTGAAGTTCTTACCCACCTAGCTTAAATTGTACAACTTGAATTGGATCTTATCCTTTGTCTCTAAGTGCTTCTTTACTGCTTACTCACCAGTTTCTCTTCCTTCTTACTTTGCTGAGGTGTCCCTAAGGTTTTGTCTTCTACCATTTGTTCTTTTTTCTATTGTATTTTCCTCAAAGGGATTATTCATTATGCAAATACAAGCTATTTATTCTACACTAGTGACTTCCAACTGGACATCTCCATTCCTTTGTCTTACACTTATAATTGACTCACTTACACAACAGCTCATTCTAAGAGTGTCAGAAATTGAAAACTTTATATTTCTAAATTAGAGATTCTTTTCACCTTCCTTATTTTTATCAGAGTCTACTCTGATTTTAGGCCTGTCTTCCATGGAGTTACTATCCTCTTTTCAGTTTCTGTTTGTTTTTTTCTTGATTCTCACTGACATCACAAAAATCAGGTTCATATTATCTCATACTTAAATCGTTCCATTTCTTAGGTACATTTTCTAAATCCATTTTTTTCTAATTCATCTTCACTGTTAGCACCAAATATTAAAATATTCAGTTATTATTTATGTCATTACAGTCCCCAGATTAGCAGAATATGTGCTATATCTTTTTAAGTTTGTTCTGATCCTGAATTGTCTAAGACTCCATAAATTTCCTGATTCCAGAGGAATCAGTCCTTCAAATGATAAATGAAGAGACTCCATGGAGTTTCTGATCTATCTATTAATGGCTTGAGTTTTCACTCTTCTTAGTTTTCTTGTTGACATTTCTTTTTACAACTAAAAAAGTAATCCTGAGTCATTCAGGGTGTCTTTGTCATTGCTACAATCACTCTCCTCTTGGTTCAAGTTCTTATATAGTTATTGGAGGTTCTTCAAGGGAAAGACTATTCTGTTCCCTCCAATGTTTTTATGCCTATTTAAGTTTCTGAAGTTATAGCAGTTTTAGCTTAAAGTTTGATTTAGTTACTGTCTCAAATTCAAGAAAAGCTTCAAGCTTTAATAAAATGCTCAGTGACACCCAACTCTTCCCTAGTATTACCATATTATTATACCAATTCATTAGTTCAAATTCTCCTCTCTTCCCTCATAGTGAGTTTCTCTTATAGTGCTTTTTTTATTATTTCTTTTTTCTTTTTTTTGAGTTGGAGTCTCACTCCATCGCCCAGATTGGAGTGCAGTGGCACACTCCCGGCCACCACAGCCTAGACCTGCTGGGCTCTGGCGATCCTTCCACCTCAGCCTTCCAAGTAGCTGGAACTACAGGCGTGCGCTATCACACCTGGCTAATTTTTTGATTTATTGTAGAGATGAGGTCTCGCCAAGTTGCCCAGGCGGGTCTCAAACCTGCGGGCTCAGGCAGTCCACTCACCTCAGCCTCCCAAAGCGTGGGATTACAGACTGAGCCACCGAGCCCAGCTGTGCTTTTTTTCTTTGCCTGCTAGCACATGTCAGTTGGGACCAGCCCAATTCTTCATTATAAGCATTCTTATAATGTTACATGTCAAGGGGAAAGGTTTGAGTTTTTATTCCTTTCTTCCCAAAAGGAAATTTGCCTCCATCTTTTCCATCATCCTTGGGCATTAGAAAACACAACCTTGTCATGCCACCTAAAAATTTCTATTATACTTTTTCTCCTAAGATGCTGCATCACTTAATGTTTCCTAAATGAAAACACAACCAGCAACTCTATTTCTCCAAGCTCCCTACTGTATCTATATTTCCAAAAACTAATCTTCTAGTCTACTGAAATTAATCTTTTGAATGTCCTCCATGGGCGTCGTGGCTCATACCTATAATCCCAGCACTTAGGGAGGCCACAGTGAGAGGATTGCCTGAGCCCATGAGTTCGAGACCAGCCTGGGCAACTTGGTGAGACCTCATCTCTACAGTAAATCAAAAAGTTAGCTGGACATGGTGGCGCACACCTGTAGTTCCAGCTACTTGGAAGGCTGAAGTGGAAGGATCACCTGAGCCCAGCAGGTTAAGGCTGCAGTGGCGCCATGAACATGCCACTGCACTCCAACCTGGGCAACAGAGTGAGACTCCAACTCAAAAAAAAAAAAAAGTAATAGTATATACTGACTTTCTACTCAGAGACCATAAGTCTTTTCTGCTTGAGTCCAGTTTTCACTTTCTTCATGTCATATTTCTTTACCACCAAGTGCTATTTGTAAGGCAAATGTGGAGAAAGAGAGAACAAGCTGAGTAGTTAGGTGAAGAAAATTTATTAGAGGAAAGGAAACAAAGACTGGCCCTAAAGAAGAATCAGTAGCCTGTTCTTTTGGTGTGTCCCTCTTATACCCCCTAGCTGGTGTCTGATGGTCATGTAGCACACGTAGTCCTGAGGAAGTAGGTGTTGGTAGTCACGTAGCCCCCAGAAGTGGCCTTGAGGAAGCAGGCTGGTGCTGGTGGTCTGTAACTTTGAGGACACAGGTGTTGGCAGTAAAAACAAGACATCGCTTAAGCAAGCAGGGAAGGAGTGAGGAGGGGTGAGTTGGAGTTGTATTTCCCTTACACTGTTCACTTTCTCTTTCTTTCTGAACTCATGCAGATCCTTATATCTGCTGCTCTATAAGGCTCTTTAATTCTCACTCTGAAGTTTTTTCTGCTTTTCTATGTATATAGCTGAAAAAGGACATCCCTAGATGGCAGCCCCAACTCTTAAGGTTATAGGTTTTTATACATGTAGTATCCATACCTAGCTAATAGAAGTCTATGAATTTCAATTTCATATTCTGAGGAGAAAGGATATTATTGGACCACCTAGTGTTTACCCCTGTCCAATCTATTGTTTTTAGCTGGGATCTAGATCATATAATATAAATATGGTTGCCAACACCTTTCATTGTGGCTAGTGGCCTCAGACAAGGAAAGCAGGGGTTAAGAAGACATCTTAAAATGTGTAAGTATATAACGTATGGAGGAAAGAATGTGAGTAACCACTAAGAGCTGTGAATAACCTTAAAATGTAGAATGGGCAACTAGAATGACTTGACAAAAACAAAGATGTACTACATAGCAAACTGTTGGAAAGCAAGCTTGTACATACACTATAAATCAGATGGAGTAAAGTTGTTTGCCAAGTTAATTACTGAGAATTTTTTCATTTGATAAATGCATTGGGGGAACTTAGAGAAACTGGTTTTTTAGTACAGGAATCTCATTATTTTATTGGTCATGTGTGGTAACAGTTGAAAGGAAAGATCTATCAATGAGAAAAGATATAAAGCACTACAAGAGAAATTCACCATGAGCAATGGAAAGGTGGTACCCTTTCCTGCTTATTCTTTCAGTCACCTATCAGCTCTTCAGTATCCTTGATGGACTAACTGTATTCTTCTTTTCTGGCTCTTTTTGGTACAATAACAAAAGTTTACTTCAGCTAGCCTAACTAAACAAAGGAATTTTTAAATAAGGACATCTTGTAACCTAAGGGCAGGATATTTTAGCCAGACCATACCAGAGACTAGAACCAGAAACCTGGAAGCCATTAGGAATTGAAATTATGCAGTTGATCTCTTTGAGGACATATAGTCTTATGTGTCTGCTTCTCTCTGTATGTATGCTTCATTCTTTGTCCTGATGAGCTTTCTGTTTACACAGGAAGAATAGCTTTACCAGTACATGCTTTATAAAATTTACAAATCTTATAAAGAGACTAACTAGAGTCAATATTTTTAGAAGAAAGAATCCTATTGGGCATCTTGGTTTGAGCCAGATGTATCTTTAACTGTGAGTATAGAGAATTGGAGTAAAATAGTACAGGCTGCAAGTGTCCAATACTATGGACAGGTTGGCAGATATCAGGGTTGGGCAGCTTGGGCTGAGAAGAAACCTCAAAAAGTATGACCTACAGTCATAAGCTCTTTTAACTTCATCTATTCTCTGTTCACTACCCCTTGTGTTTATTTCATCTTCTATCCCAGGTTGCACATACATTTTTAAGCAGCCAAAGCTATTCCTAATTGCTATTGTCCATTTTATCCCCTCTTTTTATAACGACATTTCCCCCTGAAGTCCAAGATAATTCTTGATATTTCTTTCACATTATGACACTAAGGTTGAATAAATATTTAGCCTCACAACAGGTCACTTCTTTATAAGTTTTTCCCAAAATAGAAGAGTATAAAAACTCACAGGAATGTCTTATTGAATCCCATTTTAGAAGAAGTTCAACAAGATGATGATCAGCTTGAAAGTAATCAGAAAATTCAAAACAAACTTCTTAGGGAAGTTACATTCAAGAAGAAAACTCTAACTAAGAAGAGAGTCAGTGACTGTGGTTCATTGGGGAAAAAAAATAATGTGAATATAAAATGTGTTCCTTCAAAAAGAAGGCTTCCTAAAATTGATTCACATGGAAAGAGTTTGAAACAGAACTTAGATTTACCTGATCATATCAGAAACTGTGCAAAAAAGAAACCTAAAGCTGCTGAAGAACACAGGAATTCATTCAGCCATGGCTTATCTGATACAAAAAAAGACAAAAAGGAAACTAGAAAGAAACGTAAGCAATTATCCAACCATATCTCAACTGATAAGTGTGACAAAACTCAAACTGTCAAAAAACATGAGAAATTATGCCATCGTAGCTCATCACATACTAAGCGGGACAAAATTCAAATTGGCGAGGAACATGAGAAATCATCCAGCATTAACACATCTGCTAAGCATGACAAAACTCAAGCTTGTGTGAAACCCTATGAATGTAATCAGTGTGGAAAGGTTCTCAGCCATAAACAAGGACTCATTGATCACCAGAGAATTCATACTGGGGAGAAGCCATATGAATGTAATGAATGTGGGATAGCCTTTAGCCAAAAGTCACACCTTGTTGTACATCAGAGAACTCACACTGGAGAAAAACCATATGAATGTGTTCAGTGTGGAAAAGCCCATGGTCATAAACATGCCCTCACAGATCATATAAGAATTCATACTGGAGAAAAGCCCTATGAATGTACTGAATGTGGCAAAACCTTCAGACACAGCTCAAACCTTGTTCAACATGTGAGATCTCATACAGGTGAGAAGCCCTATGAATGTAAGGAATGTGGAAAATCCTTTAGGTATAACTCCTCTCTTACTGAACATGTGAGAACTCATACAGGTGAAATACCATATGAATGCAACGAATGTGGAAAAGCCTTCAAGTATAGCTCATCCCTTACTAAACATATGAGAATTCATACAGGTGAGAAACCCTTTGAATGTAATGAATGTGGAAAAGCTTTCAGCAAGAAGTCACACCTCATTATCCATCAAAGAACTCATACTAAGGAGAAACCTTATGAATGTAATGAATGTGGAAAAACCTTTGGACATAGCTCGTCTCTTACTTACCATATGAGAACTCATACAGGCGAAAGTCCCTTTGAATGTAATCAATGTGGGAAGGCCTTTAAACAAATTGAAGGCCTTACTCAACATCAGAGAGTTCATACTGGGGAGAAACCCTATGAGTGTAAGGACTGTCAGAAAGCCTTCAGCCAAAAATCACACCTCATTGTACATCAGAGAACTCATACTGGGGAGAAACCCTATGAATGTAATGAATGTGGAAAAGCCTTCAATGCAAAGTCACAACTTGTTATTCATCAGAGATCCCACACTGGAGAGAAACCCTATGAATGTAATGAATGTGGGAAAGCCTTCAAACAAAACGCATCCCTAACCAAACATGTGAAAACTCACTCAGAAGAGAAATCTCATAAGTAAAATGAATGTAGGCTATCTGTTAACTAAAATGAAGTTTTTTTTAAAACCTTGGAAATACTCTGAATTTAAAGAATGTCAGAAAGCTTTTGGCAAGAGTCACACCACACCTTGTTACACATGATAAAATTTGAAAATAGAACTTCATATAAAATCAGTGGATGGAAACAAGAATTTAAACTTGATATAAAGCCTTTTATGGAAAATGTTTTAACAATACTCAATTATAAATTATCTATGTGTTCATAGTGAAATAGAAAGTTTTAAAAATTGTGAATAATTTTAATCATTAAAAAAGGAGGAACAAGTTACATATGCTAACAATTCCTGGGTTTCTTCGTGTTGTTTAAATACCACATATTAGAATTGAATTTGCATATCTGCTTATTATCTTGTAAAAATGAGTGTGACCATTTGTATAAGCCCCCTCTTTGACATTATCACCTAACTCTTTCTTAATGACTGTGTTAGCTTGTGCATCAGCAGACATCTTTATAAAGGGCTGTTATTTATGTAAAAATGTTAACAAAAATTGAGAGAAAATGAAAGAAAGCAGCTGAAGATTCAAATGTGCAGACAGGGAATGATGTTTAAGATATATTGTGAAATGTAAGAAAAAGGATGCTGAACTGTATATATAGTATGCTCCCATGTGTGCACAATAGGGTATATTTGTTTACTTTTGTCTCTTTCTGTGTATATATGTGTGTATGTCTGTATATATATATTTGTATGTGAATAGACTGAAGAAATACAGGAGAAACCTAGTAGTGGTTGCCAATGGGCACAGGAATACAGGATTGTGGTTGGGGATGGTATTAAGCTCTCCTTTTTATTGTATATTATTTGATTTTTTATCATGTAAATGTGTTATTTTTATAATTAAAATATTTTAATATGCATAAGTCAACATTATTTAAGATTATGACTGAGCCCTTCCGTGGTATTTTTGGCAAAGTTTAAAAGTTTCTGTACTTATCCACTAATGATCATGAATCTGAGATATATATTATTATTATTTATTTATTTTTGAATTGGAGTCTCAGTCGTCCAGACTGGAGTGCATGGCCACTCCCAGCCACCACAGCTTCCGACCTGCTGGGCTCTGGCGATCCTTCCGCCTTAGCCTTCCAAGTAGCTGGAACTACAGGCGCACGCTACCCGCCCGGCTAATTTTTTTGATTTATTGTAGCGATGAGGTCTCAACAAGTTGCCCAGGCAGGTCTCAAACCCGCGGGCTCAGGCAATTTACTCACCTTGGCCTCCCAAAGTGTGGGATTACAGGCTGAGCCACCGAGCCCAGCCAAGATATATATTATTAAACTTGATATTGAATTCATAAAGACTTTTCCTATCAAACACAAGTTCTTTTATTAGCATAATGTATTACAACTATAACGGTTCTGTGTTTCCTCCATTTGCCATTTTTTTTTTCAGACTGATGATGAATTGTAATTGCAGGTGAGTGAAAGTGATTTTATAAACAATCACTCCATTTTATCTCATATTCAAAGCACTAATGCACAAGCATCACAGTTAGGGAATTCAAATGTATTGCAACAAATGTTACCCTTCCTTATTCTTGCCCAATAGCTGATATTGTTAATGGATCACTGAATTCTTTTTGAGCTAACCTGGAGTTGGCCTCAGAATCATTCTGAAGCATATATTCTGGAATATAGTATGAATCAATTTGGACTTGCACAGGAGACTTATTTGCAATTGTATAACTAGATTTTGTTTTTTTTCTTGGGTCAGAGATTAAAAATACATCTGGAAAAATTTTAAATGACAGGTGTTACACTAAAAGCAGAGACATAAGTAAAAAAGTGTTTTAAATTATTGTACCAATAGTTTAATACAATATGGATATATAATTGATATTATAAAATATTGTAATAATATTTCTCATGTGTGTTACCTTTTATATTTTTCACAGTACATTCACTACATTATTTCATTTATTCCTCAGAACTAATATATGAATCAGTAATTAGGACTTGTCTAATCATGTTCAATACTGTTCATTAAATATTTCACATAGATAATAGTTTAGCATAATGATGAGCTCTAAAAAATGTGATAAACATGTGATTAAATTTTATCTTTGCAAATATTTCCTATTCAATTCCTTCCTTTTGGGCTTTCTTGTTTCAGAGAATTATAAGGTATAGATATTCTATTGAGAATAGAAGGTGTGTGTGCATATACATGTACACATGCCTGCATGTGCGGGACTTGAAAGATCAAATCATAGATACTATGCCCTCATTTCCAAGTAACTTATTTGCTCTCATGGGAAGAAAATCCAATGTGAAAACCATTTCCATCAGTAATTTTTTTACTAAGTGGTAATCTGGCACAAGGCACATGTGTCATTACTATTCAAAGCTATAGAAAGCCAGCAAGTTTTGTAAGAATAAAATAATTCCAGAGGCCGGGCTCAGTGGCTCAGCCTGTAATCCCACGCCTTTGGGAGGCTGAGGTGAGTGGATTGCCTGAGCCCGCGGGTTCGAGACCCACCTGGGCAGCGAGACCTCATCTCTACAATAAATCAAAAAATCAGCCGGGTGTGGTAGCGCATACCTGTAATTCTGGCTACTCAGAAGACTGAGGCGGAAGGATCGCTGAAGCCCAGCAGGTCGAGGCTGCGGTGGCCAGGAGCGGCCACTGCACTCCAGTGTGGGCAACAGAGTGAGACTCCAACTCAAAAAAACCCCAAAAAACAAAACAAACAAACAAACAAACAAAAAAGAGTTCCAGGTTATGACTACATTGAATTTCCATACCTCTTAGAAAGCACATTAGAGTGTTACATTTGGGACTGTCAGAAATATATGTAAACCTGAACAATAGAAATGAATGCTGAAAGCCATTTTGTGCAATGGAAGTTGAGTTAAAAGTTAACATTGATGAATGAGGAGAGGATGTCTAAAAACAATTGGAGGTGAGTAGTAAAAGAAAATAGACACATAGAGATGAGTTAAATCAATGATACACAAACTTAAGGTGCGTCAAAATTGCCTGAAGGATTTGTCAAAACATAGACTTTAGAAAAAAATTATTGGGCCCTTCCACAGACTCATTGAATCAAAAACTATATGGGAGGGTCCTGAAAATTTGCATTTTTAATAAGTTTCCAGGGGCTACTGATGCTGCTGGTCTGGGGACTATACTTTTGAGAACCACTATATGAGTAAGATTTAAAAAACGATTTAAAAACTATTTTTGAGATCTTGTTTACTACAAAGAAAACGAAGGAATATATATCCAGAGAGTAAATTATGAACAGTTTTGAAACATTTATTCATGTAATACTGATCATCAACAAAACAAGAAGAAAAAAAATCCTCTCCTCATAGACATTAATTCTAGAGAGGGAGGCAGGAAATAAATAAATAATTAAGATATAGAGTGTGATAGATCATCAGAAGTCAAAAAACAAAGGAGAGAAGGGGAAGGGAAGCGTTGGCAATTGAAGATTTAAATATGGTAGTGGAGAGAGGGGGCAGTAAGCTCAATTAAATGGTAACAAAAACAAAGCGCCAGAGAATGAGAGAGCAAGGCATTGCTTGCTGGCTCGGAGCCAGTTTGAAATTTGAGTTCAGACTAGTAAATTGCTTAATAAAGAAAAACATTACTCTGTAAAGATGTGTAACAGAGTCCAGAATTTCCATAACTTGAGAAATTAATTCATTCATGATATCTCAGACATAATTTTAAAAATTGCCTGACACTCATAGAATTAAGAAAATGTGATCTCATTTCAAGGAAGCAATCAGCCCAGAAAATGGAATTAACTAATGAGAATATTAAAGTAGCTGTTATAATTATGCTTAATGAAATCAAAAATATTCTCACAATGAATATAAAGATTTTTTTAAAAAAACAACTCAGCAAAAAATATAGAAATTACCAAGAAAGTCAAAGTACAATTCTAGAACTGAAAATATACTGTCTGATATTAAAAATTCACTCTGAGTTTACAAGCAGACTGAAAATGACAGTAGAGTCACTGAGCTTCAAATAGATCAGTAGAAATTATCCAAACAAGTGACAGAAAAATGAGAAGAAATGAACCTCAGTGACCTATGGGACAATAACAAAATGTCCTACATATGTGTAGCTGGAATCCCATATGGATAGAATGGGACTCACAAATTTTTAAAGATATAATTGCTAAAACTTCCCCAAATTTGGTGAATAATATAAATGTACCAACTTGAGAATCTCAATGAACTCCAAGTAGGATAAGTATGAAGAAAACCACATGGCACATCCTAGTCAATCTGCTGGAACCCAAGATAAAAAGAAAAATTTCCAAATCCAAGGGAAAATTACACATCACATGTATTCAAAATGCAGTGAGAATTATTGATACTCATCATCACAGGGTATAGAGGCGAGGAAACAGTGGATCTGTACAGTGTTGTAGGAAAAAAAAAAATAATTAAACTAAAAACTTTCAACCTCAAATTCTATATCCAGAAAATAAATTCTCAAGAATAAAGGTGAAATGACATTTTAAGATAAAAAAACTAAAGCAATTTATTCCCAGAAAACCATAAATTTATTCAGGTTGAAGAGCAATTATATCAAATGGAAAGTCAGTTTTTCAGAAAGCAATGATGAACATCAGAAAAGGTAAATATAAAAGACTTTTTAACTTTTAAATTCTTAAAAATAATTAGGGTTATTTATTTTAAAATCGATAATATTTTTTATGTGTATTGTAAGGTATTTAGATACAATATGTATACAACTCTAACATAAAGAAAGGGGAGAAAGCCTATATTGTAGCAAGTTTTCTAAATTTTGTGATATCATACACTATTAATTTCAAGTAGACTCTGAAAGCCAAGGATGTATAAAGCAATCCACAGGGAAACCTCTAAAGAGTGCAAAGAGGTTCAGCTGAAAACACAACAGATAAAGTAAAATGAACTTCTAAAAGTACATTATTCATAGCTTGGGTTCTTTTTATCCTTATGAGGTGTTTTTTCTTTTTTCATTTCTTTTGTTGGGTAATTCTACAGCATAGGCATTCTGTTAAGCACTTTGGCATATACTTATTTAATTTTTACAAATCTCTGTTCTGTAAGGTACAGTAAATCTACAAGATTGACCTTATCTGCATTTTGTAGATGAGGCAAGTGGAACTAGAAAGGATTTCTGCCTCAGCTAAGGCTATAAGTGGCTTTTAAGTTTGAGATTCAGACCACGTCCGTAGCCCCTAAATTATTTTGTTCCACTGGGGACATGGAAGGATGAGTGCCTTTACTTCAGCTCCAGATGGAATTGAATTTAATGTGATCAGGCATCATGGTATTCTCCATCCTGTTCCTGCTTTATGTTGAGTAAGTTAACAAGAAACATGCATTTCAAAGGGATTCTTAGATTCAGAGTTCTTATATATAGAAACTTTTGGAGATACATTTTTTGAGATTTTGCTTCAGGGATATTGCTTTCTTTGCTGCCCTGTAAATTTCCTAGTGACCAGCCTGGACTTTAGAAATTATACAATTATTATTATTTAGTTTGTTTGAAAAAATTAATCTTTGCTTCATTTAGCTGTCACTTTATTATCGTAGACATCTTACAAATTCTACTACATAAGGCATAATGTTCTTTTAAAGCATAACCCAACCTTACATAAGTTATAAATATGAAAAGGATTGATATCAAAAAACCTTTCAAACCTTTCCTTACATAAAGATGAAACTGATATGCTATATTAAGCTTGATCCTAACTTTTCTTACATTAAATATTTATTAGATTTTTAAATTAAAAATAATTTTAAAATTGAAAAGAATGAATAACAACCATGATTTTTAATTTAAAACTTAAAAATTTTAAATAATTATTTCAAAGTAAAACAAGTCAATTGCAGTCATGATCTGGTGATTGT